AATATCTCAGTTTTTTTTACGAAGGAAAAGAAGAAAAGGAGGAAGAAAAAGAAAAACTGGAAAGAGAAAAAAGAAAAGAAAGAAAGAGAAAAACAGGAAAGTGAAAAAAGAAAGGAAAAAATAAAAAAAAAAGAAAAAAAATATATTTGATTTTTGGTTTGTAAACAATTTTAAAGTGTGACATTTTTGTAAAGTGACATATGAGATATGACATTTTTTTAAATTTTTCTAGAAAGTTAGAACCAAGAGACCAAACATAATTATAAAATCAAGAAATATAGCACTTGGGTATAAGACAATCAATTGAGTTACCTCTATTTGTCTGTGTCTTTTACCAAAAATTGATCTAACTTATAAAACCAAATAAAATGTAAACAATTTAATTTGTTTGGGACGTTTTTGTAGAATGAAGAAGCTTTTTTTTTCCGAGAAATTTTAGTGCAATATGTCATGCATGTAATTATAGAGAGAAATAGATTTATGAGGTAGTTAGTTCAAGTCTGTAATTTTTTTTTATCAAGCAAGAATCAAATTAAAACAATCCAAAAAATTCAATTAAACAATTTATCATAGTAAAAAATAATTTCTTTAAACTTATGGTGATAAAAACAATGGAAGTGTTTTCTTTGTTTAAAATGTTTATTGTTGAGATTGATTAGAGATTATTCCCATGCCATATTTTTCTTTTCTTCTTCACTGTGTTCGTAATGATGTTCTCTTTCTTCTTCTCTTGATTTTTATTTGTTTAACCATTCTTCTTTTTTATCATCTTTTTCTTAAGTGATTGTTTCGTCTTCTCCATCTTTCTTTTTTCTTCTTTTCCTTAATAATGTTTAAATTTTAAAATAGTAATATTTTGATGATTAGAATATGTAAACGTTTATGCTCATTAGTATTAGAGTACGTTTTATGCTGATTAAATATGTAACTTAGAGTAGTTTTGTAGTAAACGATTAGATAATAACAAAAACTGGATTTTCGGGGACTATAAATATTGAATATCCTCTTATATAGTTTGTTGAAAAAAGGGATACCACTGTTTACCAAATTCAGAAAATAGATTCAGTTAAATAAAAAATGTATCTTCATTATTAAGTTATGAAATTGCTAATATTAATGATTAATCGTAATATTGAAAAACTATGCATTCTCATCCTAATAGTCAAATAATGTGGCTTTTAAAGAAAACATGTTATTGTTACCATTCGATCAATATCTTTCAAAATGGCTTCAATACGTCATTATGTATTCTTCTTCCACGTATAATTATGAATATGATTACACCTAATAGCTCCTTTGATATCTTGGTTTCAAATCACAAACCACTTGAGATTACACAACCTATATTACATCATATTTTCAAATACCAAATTTCGTACTGTCAATAGAAAAAAATACTTTCTTATGGATTTGAGGATTGCTCAAACTCTTTTAAACAAAATCAACAAAAATAAATCTCGTAAACTACTCATTATGAAATTAGAAAAGGACTAAATAACCAATGAACGTACTAATCTAGTAATTGGTCAATGAACATGTGGACTCTTCTTGTTACGCATGCATCTCCGTTTTTCTAAAAAAAAAGAGAAAAATTTATTAGAATTATGAGTTTTTTAAAATTTTGAAAGTTAGATGATTTGAAATGTGTTTGACAATAGATAATTACGTTTTTTTATATAGGGTAGGGTGATCAGCAACATATGTAGTTCTACCGTTTTCAAAATAAGATCTTTGAGAATCATTCATTTTTATCTAAAACTAAAGTTCAAATTATATTTGTTGGCATATCCAATTAATAATATTTGTTTAGGAGTAAAATTCGCATAATGTCTTGTTAAAACAAAAAAAAAAATTCGCATAATGTATCATTGTTTGTGCTATTAGTTAGTTCCATTTTTTTAATGCAAATTAAAAGAGAGAAATTTTCAGGTAAAACTAATAAAAACAATTATTTTGAGAAGCTTACTCCATAATTCACCATAACGAAATAAATGACAATAAAATCGTTTTTTGGTTTTCTACAA